CACAATTGTCAGCCAAATCTACGGTTTGATGAGTAAATGTATCAAATATTACTGACAAAATCCTGTGCTTAGAATGTATCTCTGCTTGTGTTGACACAATCACTTCACCTATGATGGAGGACCAGAAATATTAACATTCCAGTTATAACCAGGTTCTGGTGGCTCCATAGTGCTTACTTTGAATGATTTCCTCCAAGAGATAAAGTGCCTACATTATTTATTAGTTACACAATCACAGGTGCATTATGTACATTTAATATGACTGCTTGTTCTTGAATAAAGTATGTAACAAATATGATAGCCCCTCTTTACCGTGCTTAATAATAGCCACACAGAATGAGAGCAGCAATGAGGTCAATACTGGCTAATCAACACACACACACACACACACACACACGCACGCACGCACGCACGCACACACACACACACACACACACACACTCTCTCTGTGACCCAGTTAGAGATTCTCGGTTACAAGCATGCTCTGTTATATAATGGATTAACTTCCAACATGGCAAATTCTCCCCTTTTTTGGAAAATAAAGACTGTGGGTATAATTTACTTTGACCTCTATCAATCGGTTAGTTCATTTGTAAATGAATGTCCCTATTATTAAAATGTCATAATCAGCCTGCTGAAGTTCCCCAGGAGATTTCTGCCATTTGCCAACTGAGAACATCAGTTATGTGTTCATTTAAAATGTCTACCTTGTGGTTCTCTGTTGATACAACAAATAGGTCGGTAATGTTTCCTTTATTTATACTTCTTTACAGATGACCTCAAAGAAGATAACCCACCTCTCTCAAACACCAATGGCACAATCTGCAAACCTTCAAACCAGTCGTGGACTCCCACCTACCCGGAGGATTTTACCCCTGACGAGTCTGTGCGCCCCTCTCTGCCTCTCAGCCCTGTGCTGTTTGTCCCTCTGTATTCGGACTGGAACTCTGCCCTCGCCACATGGGGATTTGCATGGGAAGCACATGTGTATGGACTGGGGTCTGTCTTTACCGTATTCGGCCTAATCTCTGTAGTTTGCCTTTTAGGCCTGCCCCTGCGATGTCCTCCGGGAAGCCCCTACTTCACTCTTCTGCACTTGTTCCTCCTAGCATTTGCCGGGATCCAAGCTTTCTGTTTGCTCTATGATGCTTACAATCACCAAGATCGTCTTCTCCCTCTGAGCTCTCTGCTTCTCTCGAATCTGCCCTTCCCCTGTTTGATTTCCGCCTTCTCCCTTGCTTTCCTACTTCTTTCCTTGCGCTCCCGTTCACATCTTTCACTCCCACTTGCTAACTCCACCTCGTTCATAGCCTTGCCTAAACCTTGCCTGTTACTGTGTATGTCCCTGTTGTATTCTGGGGTCTCTCTAGGGTGTGTTGGCTTGCTTCAGTTCTTCCACAGCCTCCCCTTTGCGATCCTGCTATTCCCTCAGGGTTTGTTTGTATGTCTTACTATCTTTCTCTCTGGCTCCTACCTAATCTTCTACTGCTTGATGCAATTCGACACCAAACACATCTACAGGCTGAATGACAACGAAGAGAGTGGAGGATCTCCTGAAGGGATGCGACCTGCGAGTTGCCCCTTTGCCAAAGTGGAGGACTGGGGCAGGGCAGCAGGGGCTGGAGTAGGAGCTTCGTTGTGTTTGTTAGGATGTGGAGGCCTCCAGTTTTATGGGATCCTGCATGCTCTTGGTTTAGGAGGGGTTGATGGCTATGGGTTCCAGCCCTGGCCTTGGTGGGGTTACCAGGTAGGCTGCAGACTCTGTGAGGTTGGGGTGTGTCTGGGCTTGTCAATTATTGGTTCACACCCTATATTCTGTCACAGTAACTCCTCTATCAAGACTATAACTCGTCCCCGGCCAGGGTCTTGGTCCCGCCTCTCCTGCAGCTCCCCTTCACGAGGGCTCACCCTGCTCTCTCAGGGACGTGCAGATTCGCCTATCCTCTCCTCTCACGATACTTGGTCCCAAGGTAAGCAAGAAAAGCTGTTGGTCTGTGATGTTTCCACAAAAGGACAGTCAGAGGCACTTCCTCTTTTCTCAATGCTGGATTCTACTGGAAATGGGCTAGTCTCCAAGTCCAGACAAACCCAGATCACCATACTGCCGCTCCCTACACCCCCAACCCCACCGCACAAGCATCAAAATGCAGTTGAGTCCCAGCTATCGTCACTGGATAGCCTGGAACTGGAGGCAGATACTACACTGGATCTGCGGCCCCCTTCTCCCATAGACCTGTCCCGCAGCATTGACCAGGCTCTGTTCAGTGAATCCATATTCTCTCACAGTATCTTTGGTTTGCCAGGACTCTATCACGCTTCTTCCAGCCTCTCTTTGAGCTCTCCTAGCCAAGATGCGTCTAACCTAGGGCCTAGCTCTGTGGAAAATGCCCTCTACCGAACCTCTTCCTGTGGTGATGCGGATCAAGAGAATGCCCTATCCAGATCAGGGGCTTCCCAGGCACAAAGCTCTTTGACATCTCACTGCAAGCAAACAATATCACCAGAGCAATGGGACTGGAAAGAAAGCGTCTCTGGTTCAACCCAGGGTCTGTGCAGCAATCCCAAAGAGAACGAAAAACTACGCTTGCACTCCTGGACAAACAGGGGTCAGAACTTTGCTCAGAGCAGCCTCCCACAATCAATTCCCCACCTGTCTTACCACAGGCGCTACCGAACCCTGAGCTTAGCCTCCCAGGACAGTCGTGGATCCGGACAACTGGCAGAGACTAAACACCTGAGTGAAAGCAAACAGCTTGAATGGGATATGGCTGTTCAGGCAGAGTTTGTCAACGTGTGCAGACAAATTGACACTCTGAGTGTTTGCAGTGACACCATTGAATTATAAATGTCCAGTTCGGATTTAAATGCACTTGACATTGTACAGAAAAAGCAGACCCTGATATTGTTAGATTAAGTAATTAAATTGTAAATCATTTAAGTTATACGGATGGAAATATCTACCTTAACTAACAAAAGGGGAATATTGATATTGACATTATTATGTAGATCTAATTTATTTTGTATAAATACTGTACTGTTGATATGATATTCAAAATGTGATTGTAAAGGTTGTCTTTATCAACTTGTGGTATTTTAACTGAAATTGTCATTCCATTCACACATTCACGAATGTCAATCTATTGCTCAAGACCGCAAATGCTTTGCTTTCATCTAAAGCAGGAGTTTTAATATTTATATAACTGACATGTTGAGGTTTTTTTTTTTTAAAGGGATAAACAGGTAAAGGAAAGCCTCCTTTAATAGAGAGAACAGACAATATTGAATCAAACAAAGGCTCGTTCTACACCAATAATCTACTGTTCTGTTTTCAATAGTGAATAGTGAGACATTTTACAAATATTGAGATAAGCTTCTTTGGTTTCTAACCCTAAAGGTAGACAAATACAAATATAATTGAGTGCCAGATGTGTTTGATGTTGAAAGCGTAATATTTTGCCAACACATGATCGGTATCTAGCTGCTTATTGAGTTGTATACAGAGTGGGCAAACATTAACTACTATGAACAAACATTTTGGCATGTAGTTCATTCATAAAATTGGTTATTATGTGTTTCAGCGTGATGTAATACATTTGGAAATTCAAGGCAAAGTCATATACAGGATGAGTTTTCTTCCATGTTTTTCCTGCTTGGCCAACAATGTCAGAATTATATTTTTTAAAAGATAAATGTAAAGAATGTTACGCAATAATCTGAGGTTTTTTTAATCTACCGGAGGGAGGCAAACTCTGGGCCCACAGTTAATGTGAGAGGCTTGAATTTAAAATTGAAGTAGTAACATTTTGAAAATAGTTTTATCTAGTGGTAACAACACATTTAACTTATTAGACAAATAAGTCAAATGTGGGATTTTCTGGATCTATAAGAGAGAAAATAAAACAATATGAATATGACCTTGTCAGAATTGTCTTTATTCATGCAACACTATTTACAGAGATTTTAATTTGAAAGCCTTATGAGGGATAGAAGAAAATATACATTACAAGATACAAGTCATATATATATATTTAAATTATTAGGAACTGTGGTCAGCCAGTTCAATAGCTTAGCTCTTTGGCTGCATGTCATTACTAATAAAGTCCCACTGTTAATCGTGGACCAACATGTGTAATACCAAAGATGGTAAGTACCGCCCAGACAAATAAATCACATTTAAAAACTGATAAATTAACTTGGATTAACATTTGCTCACAATTTTATCAAGAAATAAATCCAACTTGACTTCATAGCTCTATTTCATTGACTCAGCATTTAATTGTTTAAAGACTGAGCCTGGAAAAAGGACAAATAACTACCTATGTTATGTATTATATACAAATATAAACCTATGTAATTTACCATGTCCTTTTTAGCAAAATTAAACTATGGAATATCAAAACATGTAGAACCAATGTGACACAGACTAATCTGTATTGGAAATTCAAAATGACAGTGATATTTGTCAATTATAATCACACTAAAATGTGTAGTCTTCAGTCTTGTCAAGCAAATATTATGTTGATTAGTATTTTCTGTGCCAAATAAAGTGAACAGCGGAATGTCTAGAGTGCGATATCACATTATCACTTTAAAGCGCTCCTTGTTACAAATATGTACAGTATGTATGAATTAAAGCTGATGCTATGCTTTGGTCCCTTCTGAAACAGCAGCAGTACATTTAGGTAGCTCATCGGCTAGAGGTGAAATTACATGCAAGGTATTTTCTTAAACAAGATATAACTGGTGTTGTGAGAAGCTAAAGAGAACAAAATGTTACTTGACCTACTATGAGTTTCTTTCAGGCTTGGTTAGCTTTATACACAAGGTGTCAGCAGAGAGCTGATAGTGAAACCATCAAATATATTGGTTCTTTACTCTGTTAATAAAATAAAATGTTGAAACTTTATGCCAAATACCTTTTATCCTTCTTTTGTTAATAAAATATCTAACTGCTAGATTCTCTGCAAAAATATCTTGTTATAAATACAAAATGTGCATGGAGGCATAGGGCTGCACCTCTGCAAGCCTTGTTGTACAATCCAGTATCTATATGGTAGAGTTTGAAGGCCAACAAGAAAGGGGCCTTTTATTACGTCAGCAATGATAAGCTTGTCCTAAAGTAGTTAATTAAATCAGTTTGCTTGTTGAAGGGGATCAAGAGAATAGTTAATTGCATTACCTTAACTAGACCTTGGCCCCACGGGTAGAAAGACAGATAACGAGTTTATGTGGGGACATGAGTGGTTGAAAGAGTGCAAAGATGAATCTTCAAATTCACTTTAAGGTGTTTTGTTTTGTTTATCTTGGGAGGGGTCAATGAATAGACAAGACAGTGTTGGAGTGTAAATGGTGCTGAGCTTGATCACATGCGCCCGGTGCCTCTGCTCATAGCTGCTGGGATCGGGACATTTGGTCCTGGGCGAGTGTTTCCTCTTCCTCCACTCTCAGTAAAGTCGTTTCTCGTAACTAAGCATGACAAATTAAATAAAGAATGTAAGTGTTTTCTATGTTTCCATAACAATTCAACAGTAACAAAGCAAACTTGGATGGTGATGAGTGAATGAAAGAAGAAGATGGAAGTGGGATTATGACGGGGAAGTACTTACATGGCACAAAAGAATATCTAATGTGATAGCATGGGTCAGAAAAGAGGAAGAGAAAATACACACTTAGATTGTTAGTGCCTTAACTGTTATAAAGTCAATGTTACATATTTAACCGGTGAGGACAGACAAACTACCTATATACAGGTAGTACAAAAATACAATTAGACTGTAGAGATTGGACTGCAGAGTTAAAGACACAGGTGTTGAAGAAGAAGGGGAAAGGTCAGAATCTAGGGGTCAAAGTTCAGACTTACGAGTGAAGGCCGTGGACTCCTCCTTCCATCTGAGCAGACATGGTTCTTTTCTCAAACTTCAGCTCCCCAGAGTACATCATGGACCTGGTGCAAAGACACCTCGTTAAAAATCGAAATCCCTTATATACCAAATAGCTTATACACACGCACACATGCTTACCTTAAAATCGACAAACTCTTGGCTCCTATGTCCTGACAGCCATGTTGGATACCAGCAATGAGATAAGGAGCGAACTTATGGATGGAGCCTTTATCTGTTACTGATCCTGAGACACCTTGAGCCACCTTCACCTTATCTCCCTCGCTGGATACACAATTCACATAGAGAGAGACATAAATGTATTACATTGACATCCAATGACTGTACATTTTTCAAAGGGCCTCTGTAACCCCAATTCCTCACCTGAAGTAGCGTTTCTGACTGTTATTTTTCTCCATGGCGTCCAAGGAGCCCATTCCTCTGTACTTCTTCAGACGCACACCGTCTGAAAAGAAATATTCTCCTGGGGCTTCAGTGGTTGCTGCGAGCAACGACCCCATCATCACTGAGGGCAAAAACACGAGGGCAACAAAAGGTTATGCTGACTGCAGAAGACAACAGGCAAGGGCAAAAATACTATACTGTTTTTATTTGAGGAAAAAGTCAAATGATAACATATAAGACTTCAGAAAGCACTAGAACGCTTTTCTACCTGTAGATGCTCCCAGAGCCAGAGCTTTCACAACATGTCCAACAGTTTGAATGCCTCCATCAGCAATAACTGGCACTCCAAAACGTCGAGCATACTCTGCAACCTTGTACACCGATGTTCCTTGGGGCCGTCCACATGCCATCACTGAGGAACAAGAGCAATAGTGTATGGTATAAACCTGTGTTACATGTAATAATAAAAATAGACTGGTTGTTGTTGACATGGCTGCATTATTGATCATACCTTCCTGTGTGATACAGATGGAGCCACATCCCATGCCCACTCTCAGGGCGTCTACACCAGCGTCAATGAGGTTTTTGGCCTGAGCAGCTGTCACCACTAGAGGGAGATAGACACAAAGAAAAGAGCTTAACATGAGAGATATGGGGAAGATAAATAGGGAGATTTAGTACCATAAATGCACAAGAAAGCCCTGAGGCTAGTAGAGAGCTTACCATTTCCTCCGACTACCTGTAGTTCAGGATGTTTCTGTTTGATGTAGTTTATCATGTTGATCTGATACACTGAGTTTCCTTGGGAGGAATCCTGTTATGCAAAGAAAGTTCATTTGTTTTAATGAGCGATCAGGCACCTACTGTATCTCAAATGTAAACAAAAAAAGGAAATTGGAATAGTTCATATTAAATATAAAATATCAAGGACAAAAAGTTTGAAATGAATCCTATACCTATATAAAGAGGTTGAGGAATTATCTGACTATTATGTGCTATGCAATCAGAATCCAGTCTAGAACTAACCCAGAGATTAATCATATCATAGTCACAACCTACCAGAACGACCACGTCTACTCCAGCCTGCATGAGGAGGTCCAGTCTGTAATGGTCGTCCTCCCTCGTGCCAATAGCAGCTCCACACAGCAGCTGTTTGCGAGAGTCCTTGGAAGCCAGAGGATAATCTCTGTTCTTTTTCAAGTCGGTCCTTGCAATAATGGCAACCAGCTCATCACTGTCATTCACTATGGGGAGCTTACCTAGCAGAGCCAGAGTGGGACGAGAGTGAGTGATGGACGAAAGAGAAATTCCAAAATGTGCATTTGAATCCAAGATAAATGTACTTTTGCCTCACAGTAGCGTGGCCTACTTCACATATTTACCTTTTTTGCTACGTTGCAGTATATCATTAGCCTCTTTCAGTGTGACTCCAGCAGGGGCAACAACTAAATCTTCTCTTTTTGTCATTGCCTGAATCAAAAAGACATTTTAATGATTCAAACAGTAAAGTACACGTTTATCGCTAAACCACCCACTTCTTTGACATAATTGCTGCATATACTGTGTATATACAGTATAGAACAAATGAACAGCCATACACCTACTTCCTCCAGGGGTTTGTCATGGTCCTTCTCAGACAGGAAGTCTATGTCTCTGGAGGTGACTATACCGACCAGCTTGCTGCCCATCTTGCCAGTCTCTGTAACAGGGATCCCAGAGAAACCATGGCGTGTCTTTGCCTCAAACACGTCCCCCACTGTGTGTCGAGGACTCATCACCACTGGGTCTGTAATGAAGCCCTGCTCAAATTTCTGGCAAGAACAAAAACACAAGTTTTAAGGGGTTAGAGGCCAGTCAATGTAAGTCGTTTTCTTCTTATTGGGAAAAAGTGTTGTTATGGGAGCTACAGTGTCACAGATGACTATGTCAATAGTCACTCTATGTTTTTGTCAACTTGGTTCATCTTACCTTGACTTTGCGGACCTCGTTGGCCTGGAACTCAGCAGTACAGTTATGATGAATTATTCCAATCCCACCCATCAACTGAAAACAACCAATCAGGGACATGGGAGGAAAGAATTAATTGATGAATGATTGAATGAACACTGAACATTTATTTAAGGCCTTCAATATTCCTGGTAGAGTCTGTGGTGCAGGACGATGCTAAGCTGAGTGTAAAACATTGTATGGTGGTGCAGGGTTTTTACTCACTGCCATGGCGATGGCCATGGATGACTCTGTGACTGTATCCATGGGAGATGAAATGAGAGGTGTCTTCAGTGTTATCTTTCTTGTCAATGCAGAGGTAAGATCCTAAAAATCACGTGCATTTGAAAAAAAAAAATCAGCTTTAATCAAAGATATAAATACACATTTAAAATGACATGGCATACTACTGACAAGCAAGGTCCTGCAGTGTTGCAGCTATAGGACAATTCTACCCATTTGTTAACCAAAAGTTAAGGTTGGTTTTTGTATGCCGTGTAAGAGCCTAAAAGCCAGCTTGGCCGATTAGAGGCCGCCTTGTTGAATCCACCTGCTGAGTGTTAGGTGACGCATGGGTGTGTCTGTTTTTAACACCTGCTATCGAGCAATAACCCATGTGACCTAGGCAAGTAGGCATGAAATTAATTTAAAGTCCCAGCAGAGCTTGCAAAGACGAAAACAAAGCAAGTGAAATAAACAACCCTGTGCTCTAAGGAACATAACAACGAGTTAGGGATTCATTACAAGCATTACAGCAAACCTTGTCTGTTCTTGTGAATTATGGTCAGGAATTTGACTTAGCAGCAAAAAATGTTTTTAATTGAGACCAATGATGAGAACATATTTGTGGACAATAGGAAATGTGAAAAATGAAGAAAGTGTTCTGTGTGCATCACCTATAAAACAAATCTAACAAAACAAACACCAGGGAACAGTTTGTCACTTGAGTGATAAGCGAGAGAGGGTTGTGACACTTACCACCTCATCAGAAGTAAAATCTATGAAACCAGGCAGGATCAAGAAGTCACTGAGAGGAAAGACAAAACAGACACACGTGAATATCAATATTGTGAACTGAAAAAGTATGCCATGAATGAAAAATCCATATTAATACAATGACCTCCATAAACAAGATGAATGTAGCTTTAGATGTGAACTATGCAGAGCAAATTATATTCCTACAATGCATCAGTTTTTTAGAGGTTGCTGTGAGCAGACATAATCTGTCAACCCTCTGAACTGGTCTGCATTTATCCTCTGCACACTGATAAACCCTGCATATAGCCTCCATTAAGGAAACCACACCAACACCCATTAACACACTGATATGTGCACACACACTCACCCACTGCTATTAATGTCTGAAAGCCATCCTTGAAAGTAGTATTACACATACTAATCCACAATATAATACCCAGGCAGATGTGTCATCACTGATATTACTAAACATTTAATGGAAGGCATTGATTGCATAATTCTACTGTGTATTTCTGTATGTGCACATGCACGGCATACCACGTGAGCAAATGCATCCGTGTCAGTGTTTGATACCATGAAATGAGGTAGTAAAATGTATCGGTTATGTTTTGTGTTTTTTTGCATTTCTTACTTGTATGTAAGTCCATCGCCGATTGCAAAGAGTTGTTGTGCTGTTAGTCCATCTTCAGGAACATAACCTGTGCCTCCACTGATCAAGTAGTCTGCCATGCTGGAGTATAAACACACACAGAGAGCCACACACATGCAAACATGATATACCTGAAATTTGTGACGTCAAGTGTGAATATTTTTGTATACATACAGGACAATTTATAGATGACACAAATGTTATATTATAATACATGACATTATGTCATCAAGCTGACACTTTTATCAGAGGGTCTTACACACACTTCAACACTGTATACATGCAGTTCACAGAATCATTTGGGGTTAATTATCTTGCCCTTGTTGACTGTGGAGGCTGGGGATTCAACCATTGAACCACTCTGATTGGTATACACACATTTACCGCCAAACCATATGTATCACATATTTCACTGGACCACAGTTACTGGTGCATACATCTATTCAAATATTTTAAAAAGGTTTAGTCTGTATGTATGTATCCCTTGTGCGTAACATGTTGTTTTATCTTGTTTCTTTCTTCACCTCTGTTTCTTAAACACAAGCTGCAGACTATTGCAAATGTTGGACTGGTCACCCAAAACAGTAACAAAAGGGATCTGTTCTTGTCTGTGAATACTCTTTATATACACCTGTGACGGCAGTACAGGTAAGAGGATTTGGTTTTCTGTAAAGGAAGCTGATAAACAGGCTTTTAAAAGCACACAACCAGTGCTGCTGGAAAGTGAAAATATCTCAGATCTTATAGTATGAGCCATGTGGTGACAGACTGACCTCTCTGGTTCATATCCAGCTTGGATACGTGTAGCACTGTAGCGCTGGGCTGCAGTCTCATGCCCATGTCCATGTGGTGAGGGGGGCACATAGGCCCCGTAGGGAAGAGGTTGTTCCCCATCTCTGTTTAAGATGCGAGGCCGCGCTGGTTCCATGTCCCCAACGATCCTCCGGTAGTCGATTTGGTAAGTGTCTCTGTCCCCTTCTCCAAACCGGTCATAACCATGACCCTCCATCTCTAAGAAATCCAGGGCTACGACTTCCACAGGGCCCCAACACCTCAAACACACACACCCACACACTCAAACACACACAGTCACAGCACTTCTGACCTGTTTCATGCACACAGCTTCACACCTTTACCAGCAAGTTAACAGTGGTCCGAGCAGCTCCCACACAGCTTGTTCAGTTTTAAGCACTGATAAACAGCTTTGAGTGCATGTTCACATAAATACCTTTCATGCACAGCTGAACTTGGGAGGAAGCAGTTTTGCCATCTGTTTTACATCCAGTATGGCCAGATGATTTTTCTCAATAATCCCAAAACTGCAGAAGAAGCAGCAGCAAAAGTCCAGAGTTTGTTTTCCTGTTTCTCAGCTCTGGTCACCGGAGTTTGAGGCCAGGCCCTCAGGCAGGAGCAAAGAGCTTTCAGCTAACCTGTTGATTAAGTCTTAGCACACTGAATTTAGAAATCCGTGTCTCCCAGCTGGAGGCATGAGCAGCCCCTCGGGAGGAGAGTCAGTTCTTGCTGAGGTGGCACAGACGTGTCCCTCTAGAGGCCCAGAGTGCACTGCTGCTTGATTATCTATGAAGCTTCTCTCTACTCTGTTCTCCTGGTGCCTGCTGAGCTTAACTCTGTTTCTGACAGTAGCAGACGTCACTCTCCTACAAAGAGGATTGGGAGCATTAATGCAGGATGGGGTGGGGTGAGATGGGTGTGTAGGGTGGAGTGAGGCAGGAGGACTGAGGAGGAGAAGGATGGGTCAAGATGACACTTGAACGCACTTTCCCCACTGAGGATTAACATGTTGTAGAGGTGTGTTGTTTTTTCAGAGAGACAGAGCTGTGAATGAGACAAAGGTCAAATCCCAGAATACTTTTATGCCGCCAGTTTAGCTACTGTGAGACAGAGGGGAGAGACAGATAGAGAGACAGGCAGACAGAAGTGTCCATGTGAGGGAAAGAGAAACATTTGTTTATACCTAAGCTAGTTAAATTATTTTCTGTCATAGCAATGCCACAAAATCTGTTTATGGAAATTCATAGAAAATCACATGTTGAGAATACTGTCAATCATATCGGATACAACATTTTATCACGAGAAAAGAAGGTAAACGAGTGAAAGAAAAGCACTCACAATTAAAGTAAAATGAAGGTAAATTAATGCACGAAAGGTGGTTTGAAAATTCACTACACACGTGTGAACTGTCTTCATGTTTTTTCTCTTAATCAGCTCAGCGTATTGACCAGTGTTCAGTGTGAGAGGGGTGAACAACAAACCTTTGCAAGGAACTGAAACATGAGTAACTGTATTGGCCAAGATTCCCCCTTGACGCCATCATCTGCAGGTGACTGACTGACTGCTTCTGACAGTTACTGGGAGATTGAACCAGAAAAGCCTCTTACAGTCTCTACCCTTCTCTCTCTCTCTCTCTCTCTCTCTCTCTCTCTCTCTCTCTCTCTCGAATAAAAGCAACTTCCTCTTTATAAAATGAACAACGTGTTTGTCAACTCATAATGAAGCCATAATGACACAGTATTTTTTTCTGTTAATAAACAGTTGTTTATTAGAACAATTTTTCAAAGATCCTTAAATGTAAAACTTTATATGTTACAGAGTATAAAAGTTTTATAAAATCTCAACAATATATAAAAGCATAAAATATATGAACTTTTTTACAAAAGATGAAAGTAGGTGAGGCATGCAAAGTAATCTGCACCTGCGGGGAGGGGAATGCGCACGGCCACAGCGTATTCAGAATTAACCGCCTGTAAAGAAAGAGAAATGAAAAAATATTATAACATGTCATAAGATAAACTCCCATGTTAATCATTTACAGAAGGAAGTCCTACCAAGCCTCTCCACTAGGTGGGGATGTTGAGCCTTGAGGGCGTCGTAGAAGGCTGCCTTGACCTTATCGCCCCCTGAACGTAGAGGCCCATGATAAAGCGCTCTCATTTTATAATGGCTTGTTGTGTCCTCTCTTCCAATCTGGGATAAGGCTTCACGGTGGACCATGTCTCCAAGCGCCTCGGCTATTGCCATTACCTCTGAAACGTCTTGAATCAACGTTGCCTGGTTGTGATCAACAAACTTTGCTGTTTTTAAATATAGAAGAAGAAAAAATTGTACATATAAAAGGCATAATCAACTGATTTTGTATGAAGTAAATGCTGTCATTCAATAAAATGCTCTATTGAGATTTTATGTTTAACAGGAAATTATAACACACATTTTTTAATACATTTTTGGTGCAAAATACTCACCTTTATCTTTAATGCCCATTGTTTTAGTAGAAGCACAGACCTGATGAAAAACAAAAAACTCTTTCAGACTTTATTGCAAAAATGGTCAAGTCATTCATAAATGTGTTAAAGGTGTTGTTAACTAGTTTCAGAATCCCAATGTAAAACAATAGGACTCTTATTGTATGTTTCCTTTATGACAATGAAACCCTTGAAATGTGATTTCCATTTCAATCAAAGACATACAACAAAATATAGTTCAAATAACCATGTTTTCTATGACACATTTTGTTGTTTGTTTGTTTTGTTCTATTGCAACTTAGTCAACGTTATGTAATATGTATTCTACTTCTTGTGAGGGCAAGGGTCAAAGTGAATTTGGCCTACCTGGTTGAAAGACCTTCCAGTTTCTGTAATCCTGCCAAAGTCCACAGAATCATTTGTTGACTCTTCTGCAAAAGAGAAAGAATCATAATATTATATTGTCAAAAGTAAGTAATAATGTATAACTTAGATTAAACTACCTCCACCCACAAACAGTGTTGAACAATCTACCTGCTGTCTGAAGGGAAACATTGGTCACCCCACTTGTGTTTAATGTTTTGCTGTTTGATGACATCTAAAGTAAAAAAATATTATATATCAGAGAAAGAAGATAAACCTGTTAAAAGTGTATCTAAGTTACAAATCAACTTATCTGCACTTATTCCTTTAATGAAATTAAATTTATGAGTTGTACCAGTCTTTTCAAATGACCCACGGCATCATGAATTCCCGTGCTGTGCATTGAGAGCACTTTCTCAGTGACGTCCAGGCACTCTAAAACAGAAGCACCGTTACATTGTAAATATGTGTGTCAAGCTAGTATACAAAATGTATCTAAGCTAATGTGTAGCTCATTTAGATCAGAAACATTTCAAACTTACTGACAACAAAAACAAATATTTACGTATAAAGGTAGGCCTCTGGTTGGGACTGCCATCCCAGCACCGCTTCATGAGGTGAATTAGTTCTTTCAGCCCATCTACCTTCATCTGCTCAATTTCCTTACAGCAAGGTCTGTGCCCCTGAGGGATACTCGATGCCACACGATCGTAATTACCCACTGCAGTACATGTGATAAAAAACATTGATTTAATTGAATAATTTATTGTAAACCTACATGGCAAAAAAGGAAAAACAACAGAGTGGAAAATGATAGGAAAACAAAATAAACTGCACTTACATGGATAGGGATCTTTACCAGTAGCAATGGTCCAGAGCAGGATACCATAGCTGATCAAGAGAGAGAAAGTAACACTGTTGAAGAAATACTTCACCCCAACACTACCATTTGTAAAGTAATAACTCATTGTATACAACTTTCCTGCATGCCTCCTCTGTTAACATCTGAGTTTGTTCACAGATATTTTTAAATAGTTTTGCTATTCTTATATGCAGTCCCTAATTACTTCAATTTATCAAGGATTTATTCTTTTTTTAGAATCTTCATCCGTCTTTCATGAATTCCAGATAACACAGGGTGAGTATTAGAAATGATTGGTTTGGGTGTAAAGTATCCTTTTAAGGTTAATACCATATTGGGTAGTATTATTTGTTCATTTCTTACCTGTATACATCAAAAGAACGAACAGGTTCATATGATGCTGATTCAAGAGCTTCTGGAGGCATGTACTTGTATGAGCCACCAATCGCCCCTGTCTCTTTGTTGCTGTTCGAAGCGCTGGCGGAAACTCTGGACAGACCAAAGTCTGCTATCTACAGAGAAAGAAGGGAAACATAGTATTAAACACATTATTAAATCTCCTTTTGTCTAATGTAAACATAAGAGGTTAGGCACTTTACCTTGGCGTTAAGGTTATCATTCAGCAGTACATTACTTGGCTTAAGGTCTTGGTGCATGAGATTTTCTTTATGGATGAAGTTCATGCCTTGAGCCACTTCATGGGCCAAGCGGAAAACCAGGGGCCACTGTGGAGGGCTGTGGAGATACTCCTGCAGGGACTGAACAGATCCTCCTTCCATGAACTCCATCACTATTCCCTGTTGTGTGGATGGTCGTTTACCAGGCGGACAGCCCTGATACATTGCATAAAGGCTCACCACAAACTTAAAGGAAGCCATATCCATATACTTGGCCTCATCACGCAGTATCATGGAGGAGCTGGAAACGATAGTTAAGGTAGGGGATTGTTGAAAAGAGATATGGGAAAGCAGTAACAACCTTTTGAACTTCTATTCAGAATGTGCATGACCTTTTTAGGTATTTTTATATTTACCTACATCCATCATGGGGTATCTTAATAGCCACATCAATTCCCAAGTCCTTTTGCCTGGCCTTGAAGACTTGACCGAATCCCCCAGAGCTGACAAACTCCCATTTCTCAAAGCATTCATCACCATAAGTCCTGCGGCTCCGCAGCGCCATCTTTTGCTGAACTACGGTAGAGCCACCTCAAATCTATTATTAAACATGGAAATACATTCTGAAAAGAAAAGCTGCTTTACTCAAACAAAGTGGCTTAATGACAGCTTAGATATTTTCTTTTTCATACAGATACTTTAGTTACTGCTGACATTGTGCCCTTTCTTTTACACACTGACATTACAACAAGTACAGTTTCAGTTTGTAAAGACACCGACAAAACATTTTCCAAAAACATTTCCATTGTAATCTTGTTCTTGTACCTCTATTTTAAAGCTGCATTTCACTTACCATGTATCCCCTGATGTGTTTTAAACCCCCAGATTTAAAAGTGTATATTAAACCGTGGCAAAAGAAAGCAAGAACAGTCTGTTCATGTCGCTCTTCAACACAGAGGAACAAAAGGGAGGAGCTGATAAAAAAGAGGTTGGCAAGATATTCACACTTCCTGTGAAACACACAATTCACGAGTGGTGTATCAAAATAAATCTAACTGAGTAAAGACAGTCTTTAATACTTTTAACCATATATTTTGATTGTTATTTAATATAATTGTATTGCAGAAATGTGTTGTTCTTAAAAAATAACTATATTTCAAAAGACTAAAATACCAAACAACAGTATTAAACCTTTATTAACTACTAATTTGTATTTGGTGAAATATAAATTGGAATATTGTTTGACTTTGTTCTTATTTTAGAGTGGTTGTAAAAAGCAGTGACACGTTTCCTCATAGCACATGAGTGGTAGCAATCTTGCACTGTGACAGGAAGTTATGAAGGGCACACCTTTTATTTTTTTCTTCATGTACTATCTGAATAGAGTGGTGCTGTAAGATATACTTTGCAAATCTGGCATACTCTCATCTGTAACATGTTAACCTTTCTGTGAAATCATTAGGAGGGAGGCTTTGCTGAGACTGCTTTGTTTACATGTCCGTATGTGAGCCTCAATATAGATGAACAATAAACTCTCTTATCAGGCCAATGAGAGACACATATATGTTTTCTCACTCTTTTTTCCTTAACTAGGAATAGAACATGCCCTTTGCTTGTGTTAGAGCACTGTTATTTAAAGAAATCATTTGAGTACAGTAGAAACAAGCAACATTTAATACATTTATTTTTATTAGTTTCAACTAGTTATTAACCTGCAAGTAAGACTGTGAACTCCCCCATCATAATTACATTTTCTCAAAATGTAAAGCTGAGCTGATGCCAATGCTCTGAGCCTCGCCCTTTCTTTTCAGCTACAGCCCTCTCTCATTACTTCCCTGTATCTCTCCATGATGCACACTCTCTCATGCACACAAGACAAAAGCCACGCTGCTCAGACTGTTTTCAGTCTGAATAATTAATGCCAATCAGTGCTTAACAAATATAAATCTCAGTCTGTGAACCTGACAGCTACCAGGACTATATCATACCTGTACAATCACACATGCACACCCTGTTCATTAAGAGAGCTTGGTGTATTTGCTTACATCCCATGCTACCTTGCTGTTTCAGCCGGCATCGATAGGCGCGGTCTGCTCTCGCTCTCTGCATTTCCATCACTCTCTCCCCTCCCTCTTCTCCACCCACCCTTATTTACGCTCAGCACAGCGTGGACCTCTCTCACTAGTGGCTGCTCTCTACATCTCTCTCCTCCCCGGCCGCCTTTTACCTCATCCTCTGTCCTCCTGAAAACTGTCTATTATACTCTCCTTTATTTGCTTTCCTCTCTGCCCTTGTCGCATGCTGATGATATATGAGGCAGGGGATTCGCCTGAAGGAGAGCTCTCTGCGCTGGATCCCTGAGTGGAGAGGGGAGGTGAGCGTCCGTCTTTCCCACCACAGTGGAGGAGGGCTTTAGACTGAGGGGCATCACTGATGCAGGTTACATCCTGTGGAGCAGTGGCAGGACAGCCCCAGGCTAAACTGAATAGACCCAAAAACCCACATGCACGCCTGGATGTGCTTTGTGTTGTGAGGAGAGTAAACTGAAGACAGGAGCCAGCAGCAGAGGGAGGAGAGCATTTAAAAAGAGGTGCCAGAGTCAAAGGGGTTTGGTGGAGGTGGGTGTGGGGTCTGGGGGGAGTGTTTTAAAAGTGGGAAGAGAGTGGGGGGGTCTGCTCTGTTCTCAGATCAAAGAACTGGAAGGAGATTTGCTTTTTCGCTCAGTCTGAAGAGTCGCTGAGAGACTGGGGAGTCACAGGCTCTCCAAGTACTTAATTACAATTGGAGAGCAGAGGCTGTCTGCAGCACTGACTGACAGACAGAGGGAGGTGGGTGAGGACACAGAGAGGGAGGGCCAGTCACAGGACTTCATCTGGACAAAGGTGAGTAGATTCCTGAGGGAAGAGGAAGAGGACAACGGAGAGAGTCCTTCAAGGAAGATTTCCTTTCCACAAGAATCCATAGGAGCATCCCATCATGGCTGTCCAACACATGCCTGAATCAGCCGTGTGCTTGCTCATGGTAAGTCTCAAAGAGGTAATGTATCGCAGCTGCTGTCTACTGTGTGTCTTTGTGTCTTTCTTTCTCTCCTGTGGCTTTCTCTCATCACTCTCTCCTGGTGGAATAAAAGCTCAAACAGACACTAATGCAGGAGGTGAGCTGTCATCTAATTAAACGGGAGGTTGCTTGTCTGTTCCTCCCCTTTACTTTACTGCAAGCCTTAAATCCTCTAAAAAGATCCCAGTGATGCTCTAAAGCCGTTTTCCGTACTATAGAAATGTCTGGCTTTTGCGTCCTACTCAGAAAGCTTTTGTCTAACTCCTCCACGTGTTCAACTACTGCAGTGGTGAAGTGTGGGAGAAATCCCTCACAGACTGCTGCAGGCAATTGGATGCTGTGCTGAACACAGTGTGTAAATTCAGAGACAGATGTCGTATAATATACCTTGGTTTCAATGGAGTGATAAAGACATGTGTTTGTGTCTACAGTGCATGCAAATAAGTTGCTAAAGGGGTGTGCTTGCTCAGTATGAGAATAGTGTGTGATCATTTCCCATCACACACACACACACACACACACACAAATGTTTTTCTGCAGCCCATGGCAGAGGATTTGTAGGATCTTGTTAGTGTATACACCAGTACCTCTATGACACGAAACAGATTGGCTTGGCTTGGCCTGGTTTAGATCTGGCCATAGAGAGTGTTGAAATAGAAACACACAACATGCGTAAATCCATTGAACTCCTCTTAGCCCTCTGTCCAGCCGCACAGTGGAACAATGGCAGTGTGGCTTGGCTGCCTTTGTAGAATACAGATAAGGCATGTACCCCTCTTAGGATAAGCTTTAATGGATCGAGTGTAAACCCTGCATGCAGGCCGACTTTGTATAAGAGAGCATGTTCTGCTCATTCTCATTCTATAGTGTTGGCATCCTGCAGTCCCAGGGGGAGTCACGCATCGCCGCACTACCTGCTATCTCCACCTGTCATGGCTGTCTGTTACTATGGCGATAGGCCAAGCACCCCACTTGGGGGAAAGGCAGCAGTAAAAAGAGAAGGGTGGGAGAAGTGTGTGTGACATGATGATGGACAGAGCAAAGGGATGAAGGAGAAAAAGGAAGTGTGAGTGATGAGTGCCAGTGGTGGTTCTAGACCAATTTGACTAGGAGGGCCAGGCTGGGGCCAGTTATTTCGTGAGATGGGCACAATACAAGCGGGTTAAAAAAACAAAGACAGTATAAAGTAATTGTGTAAAATAAACATAAAATAAAGTAATTGGTATTTGTTTGTGTAAAGGTATTTGTTTTAGTAAATGTAAGTTACAGTCCTTTGTTTCAGTAGTTTTTTTCATTTAGAGTATTTGTTTTAGTAACTTTAAGTCGACAATTAATTTAAAAAAAATTGCTTTTATATAAGTTAATGAACAGTAATCATAATAACAATAGGTTTCCTCGCACTTCGTGCTAGGACGCCGTCGGGTCCTAGCACATCGTGCTCGGGCCCTAATCATAATATAATCATAATATTGCAACCTTTTTTTTGGAGGGGGGCCACAGGGGGGTTCCTAGTCAGTGTTACGGGGGCACTGGCCCCTGTTGGCCCCCCCTAGAACCGCCTCTGATGAGTGCAGGAAAAGAAGGCGAAGGAGTGAGAGAGAAAATGAAGAGAAAGTGAAAGGGGAAGTGAGCTGTATTTTCACAGAAAGTAGCAGTATGATCACCTTCACAATTGTCCCTTCCAAAATAGACCCCTCCCTTAGGGGATTTTTTGTTAACTTGTATGGTGTGGAGACAAGAATACATTTGGTAGCGTTGGCATAGAGGGCTTTCCCTTGCAAGTGTTCTTACTGTCACAGCTGATAACCCAAGGTGTCACACGCCTGACTTTCGGACTGTCACCTCAGCTCACACAGACAAACACGTTTACTGCCACAACTTCTTACCGTTACCTTTTCAATTTAGTATTATAGCCTCACACTTACAATTTTTGCACCATTTATAGCTCTTTGCCCATTGGCTCGATTTGTGTTTTCTTTGGCAGAGATGTATTTTTTTTCTGCTGGGCTTGCCAAAGTTAAGGAATATCAATACGTAAATCTGGCCTGTGTTGAATTTTCCTTTAAATCCAAGCTGAACCAGACTGACATTAAATAACTAATTTAATAGCTCAGTGATTTTTTCAAAAAAATCCATGGTATTTGTATTCAAGCTGACAATTTCACAGCTTGAACTTATCTTAATTATTAATGGAAATTGTGGAGTGTGGGTGTAGGTCTGAGGGTGAGTGTATGTGTGAGTTTGTGTGTATTCGTGGGTTAGCGAAGATTAATATTGATCATGCCTCCTGCATCTGTGTGTATTAATATTTCAGGTGAATAAGTGATTATCTCTAGCGAGTAGTCACAGGAGCTGCTTTATGACATTAATGTGCAGTGACAGCAAAACAGATAACTCATATCAAACATTCACATCATTGTTTTTAGATAGATAGATAGATAGATAGATAGATAGATAGATGGATAGATAGATACGTAGATACGTAGATAGATATGTTTCCTATACATCTGTTAGGGTTAATCAAATAAATAAATGCAGTAAATTGGGTTTTAGTTCTCCTTTGGGCTTTATAGGTCTGGAACTAATATGATTGGCCCAGACTTACACTAGCTCAGCTATAAAAACCAAATGGTTTCAGGTCTGTTATAGAAGTGGAGAGCCTATAAGAATCATGGCTAGGATCATTATACTGTCTGGTTATGAATGGGTTAGATCAATAACATATTATGACTGGAAGGAGAAATCGACAAATGAGTCTTAGGGGAACAATCATTTTTTTTATAAACGCACTTCATCTTTAAAGATTAATTAAATATGGGTACTTTTTCATGCCAGCTATAGTTTAATGGACAGACATAGCATCTCCATCTCTTTCTGCCTGCTCTGATGGGTTT